TATATGGTTTGCTTACCTCTAATGTGGTAATTAGCTCTAGCGTTAGTACTCAATTATATATTGTAGTTAACGGAGAAGAACAGTAGAATACACAATATACTTCTTCTTCCAGGTTTTGTTTCCTGAGAATTTTTTATGTTTGGGTTTTCGCCTTGCCGCCGCGACTACACCAGTATTTGGAATCAGAGCTAGGTTCGTCGCATATTGCGGAAGGTAGTAGCCAGCCTCGACCCGACGCCGATCGGAGTCTGGATGCGTTGTGGGATACGCACCAACAAACGTCCAAGCAATTGGATGAGCTTGTCCATTCGTTAGCCAGGTTTGCGGATGAAATGCGGGAGGAAATGAAACATATTAGAGCGATTGCGAATCCTTTTGCGAGACAAGCCGCACCGGCAACCTTACCGGGACAGAGGATTCCAATGCGTGGTGAACCCGCTCACAGGAGAATACCAGTTAGGCTTCCAGATAGCTCAGATTCGGAGGATAGTATTCCACCTGAAATTGAAGTGTCAGGAACGGATGAAGAAGTTCGTCCCCCTCGGCCTGATAGGGGTAGACATCATCGGCACCAAAGATCAGATAATGAGCACGCCCGTATTAAACTGGATATTCCAATTTTTGTTGGAAGACTTCATATAGAAGATTATCTTGATTGGGAAGGAGCTATAGAGAATTTTTTGATTATATGGAGATCAATCCCAACAAACAAGTCAAATATGTAGCTTGTAGGCTTAAAGGTGGAGCCAATGCTTGGTGGATGCAACTAACTCAAAATTGAAAGCGAGAAGGTAAAGGTATCATTCGCAATTGGAGTCGTATGAAGCAACTAATGAGGCGTCATTTCCTTCCCACTGATTTCGAACAACTCCTATATCTCCAATATCAGAATTGCAAACAGGGCCAACGATCCGTTAGTGACTATACGGAGGAATTCTACAGATTAAGCGCCCGCAACAATTTGGCAGAATCGGAGAACCAACTGGTGGCACGTTACATAGGTGGTTTGAAAGAACACCTTCAAGAGAAACTGGAACTTAATTCGGTTTGGTCTCTATCCCAAGCCGTTAATTTCGCTTTGAAAGCTGAAGCGCAATCCCAACGAACAGGCCAGACCAATTTTCAAAGAAAGACCACTCCAGAAAACATTTCTGGTTCAAACAGGGTACCTAGTTCAGCTCTAAAATCACAGCCAGTTGTGAACTCTTCTGGGAGTATACTGCAAGTTGATACCAGAGGGCAAATTAAGTCTCTGACCCCAGCCAGAGACAACCCGTATGCCAAACCTTCCTCCATTAAGTGTTTCCGTTGTTTACAACCGGGTCACAAGTCAAATGAGTGTCCAATGCGGCACCAAGCTCAGCTCGTTGAAGCAGAGGATGATGTTGAGCCCTCGGGATTGGCGGAGGAAACCGAGTACCTGGTGGAAGAATTGTCGGCAGATGAGGGGTGAACCTGTTATTTGTGTGATGGAGAAAGTGTTGATTGCACCAAGGCAGCCTATAGTAACTCAGAGAAATATTTTGTTTCGCACGAAATGCGCCGTGAACGGAAAGGTGTGTGACCTGGTTATAGATAGTGACTATACTGAAAATATCATTTCCCGCGCTACCGTTCAAGCTTTACAGCTCAAGACAATGATAAATCCTACCCCGTTTAAAATCGGGTGGATTAAGAAGGGAGTTGACTTTCTGGTCTCTGATATGTGCAAGTTCACGTTTATCATTGGTAAGAGCTATCTATGTCAGATATCCTGTTATGTCCTTGATATGGATGTCTGTCACATCATACTAGGCAGACCTTGGCAATATGACACAGGAGCTATCCATGACAGGCGAGCCAATACCAATACCTTTGAGTGCAAAGGAAGGAAAATCAAGCTAGTGCCAAACAGCCAATCCAATGGCAAACAGCCTTCTAATAATCTCATTACCTCAAATGCCATCTCGGGACATTCTTTACTACAGATAAAGGAAGAGAATAGTCATATTTTTGCTCTAATTGCAAGAGATGTTGTAACGTGCCCGACTCCTGTTATCCCAAGTGATGTTCAGTTATTGCTTGATTCTTTCTCAGATGTTATGACCTCGGAATTACTGCTGCCGTACCCCCGTTACGTGATTTACAGCACCAAATCGAATTTATTCCTGGTGCCGCTCTCCCCAACTTACCGCATTACAGGATGAGCCCCCGTGAGCACGGGATACTTCAGGAGATCATTCAAGATCTGTTACACAAACAATTTATTCAACCCAGCATGAGCCCGTGTGCTGTCCCGACGCTTATCGTTTCGAAGAAAGATGGACAGTGGAGGTTATGCATAGACAGTAGGGTCATCAACCATATCACTGTCAAGTATAGATTTCCAATACCGAGGATCACTGACCTTCTCAACAGACTTCATGGCTCTAAGGTATTCTCCAAGTTGGACCTGAGGAGTAGATATCATCAAATTCATATCCATCTGGGGGATGAATGGAAGACGGCGTTTAAAACGATTGAAGGCTTGTTCGAGTGGAAGGTTATGCCTTTTGGGCTCTGCAAAGCGCAGTCCACCTTCATGAGGCTAATGCACGAAGTCCTCAAACCTTATCTAGACAAATTTTGTATTGTCTATTTTGACGATATTTTGGTGTTTGGCACTTCTTTTTCAGCTCATCTTGATCACCTGAAGGCAATCCTGGAAGCTCTCCGCCAACATCAACTCTTTGTCAATTTAGCCAAGTGCCATTTTGCTGTAACTAGCGTACATTTCCTGGGTTTTGTGCTTACACCCGATGGTATCCAGACTGCTCCTCAGAAAATTGAGGCCATTCGTGACTGGCCGATTCCGAAGACCATCACGGAAGTCCGTAGCTTCCATGGCTTGGCGAATTACCATCGTCGATTCATTAAAGGATTCAGCAACATTATGGCCCCCATCACAAACTATTTGAAATCACCGGCGCTGACTTGGTCGGCGGCTCAACAGAGAAGTTTTGAAAAGATAAAGGATGCTCTTAGTTCAGCTCCCGTGTTGGCTTTCCCATATTTTGACAAGCCTTTTCAGGTTGATACGGATGCATCAGCAGTGGGTATTGGAGCTGTGTTATCTCAGGAGGGAAGACCCGTTGAATACTTTAGTGAGAAGCTAAGTCCTCAGCGACAAAGGTGGTCTGCGTATGAACAAGAGCTATATGACGTTGTCCGTGCCCTCAAGCAGTGGGAGCATTATCTTTTGCATAAGGATTTTATTCTATGTAGCGACAATCAAGCATTGCAATATATCAACAATAAAAAAAACATTAATCGTATGCACGCCAAGTGGATTGTTTTCTTTCAAAGATTTAGTTTTGTGATCAAGCACAAGGCCGGTAAGAGCAATAGGGTGGCGGACGCATTGAGTAGATGCTCGGCGCTTTTAACGCACCTGCAAACAGAGATAACAGGACTGCAGCTGTTACGGGATTTATACCCAGACAAAAAGGATTTTGCTGATATCTGGAATGCTTGTAATTCGGGTCAGCCTTTAAGGGATTACTTGGTACAGGAAGGTTTTTTTTCAAGGGGAATGCACTTTGCATTCCAGATTTGTCTTGGCGCCAGCAGTTGATCCGTGAGCTGCATAACGGTGGTCTGACATCACACTTGGGGCGAGATAAAACCTTGGAGCAGATTCAATCACGTTTTTATTGGACACGAGTACGCCGAGATGTCACCAGATTCATTGAGAAATGTTATGTTTGCCAAAGATACAAAGGCTCAGCCCAGAACACAGACTCTATATGCCATTACCTATACCTGAAACCATTTGGGAAGATTTATCTCTAGACTTCGTGCTAGGATTACCACGTACTGAGCGTGGTTCAGACTCTATAATGGTAGTCGTGGACCGCTTCTCTAAAATGGCACACTTCATCCCGTGCAAAAAAGACATTTGATGCGGTACGCATTGCAAGCCTTTTCTTTAGGGAAATTGTAAGACTGCATGGGTTACCCTGAAGCCTCACGTCGGACCGCGACGTCAAGTTCGTTGGCCATTTCTGGAGGGAGCTGTGGAAAAGGTTGAATACAGAACTCAAGCTAAGTTCAGCTTACCATCCACAAACGGATGGACAGATTGAGGTGGTCAACAGGACACTTAGAAATATGCTACGCTGTTTAGTGCAAGATAATCCGAAAAGGTGGGAAGACATGCTTAGTCAAGCCGAATTCGCCTACAATTCTATGTCTAATAGATCAACGGGACATAGCCCCTTTCACGTGGTGTACACCAAGCTGCCTAATCAACTGGTAGATCTTGCAGTCCTTCCTAAAATCCGGCCATCCGCTGCCAGCAAAACAGCATCTGAAGTTTTGGAAACTCTGAAAACCGTGAAGGCTAATTTGGAGCAGTCTATTTGAAATACAAGCAAAATGCTGACACTCATAAGCGACACAAGTCTTTTTCAAAGGGAGAACTTGTCATGATAAGGATGCACAAGGAACGGTATCCATAAGGAACATACTCTAAATTAAGTCCCCGAAAGTTGGGACCCTTTTCCATCCTTCACAAAATCAATGATAACGCTTATGTGATATATCTACCTCCTGATATCCATACGTCTCCTACATTCAATGTTGCTGATATATATAGCTATCATCCACCTGATAGCTCAACTATGGTTGAAATCTCATCGGAGTCGAGCTTTTCGGAGCCAGGGGAGAGCTGATGTGGCCATCCGCAGCATTCTTCCTGTAGCCAG